CCGTCGAGTTGCTTTTGCCTTTGTGCGGCTCTATCCTAGCGATGGCTTCGACTGGGACGGTGGAGTCACAGGTGTACTCGACTCTGTTCGGCAGACGGTACCCCGCGCAGAGCTTGCGGCGATTGTTGAGTGCCTTCGCTGCGTTGATCCTGCCCAAGATCTGCGCGTGGTCACCGACCATGCCAATGTCGTCAAAGGTTTCCTGGCTGGCCGAGCGGCCTCTGCCAGGCTGGCAAATTTTGATCTCTGGTGGGAATTTTGGCAGCTCCTCTCGGAGCGCTCTGGTCAATTCCAGGTCTCTCATGTTCCCAGCCACTTGCTGGACGACGCCCAAAAGCTAGCCCGTTTTGGCGACTCTGTAGACTGGGACCATGTTGTGCTTAACTCTGTCGCGGACGAGCTCGCTAACTTGCGTGCTCTTGAATGCCAGGTGCCTGAGGGAGTTGTGCAGACTTATAACGAGCTCTTTGCCAATGCCTGTGCTATCCTACAGCGCAATGCCTCTATCACCCTCGAGTGTGCTGCCCTCAAGGCTGATCCTGAGCGCAGGCTGCGCAAGCAGCCCATCGATCTTGTGCTCCGCAGGCGTCGGTGGATCGAAGCCGATGTTCGGTGTTCGTCGCACGTTTGGGAGTTTGTGTCTGGCGTCTGGGCGTGTGGCAGGTGCAAGGCCTCGATCTCCGACGCTGCCCCATCGCTCCGCGCGAGGCTCCGCTCTGCTTGCCCTGCCTATGGAGGTGGTGGAGTTGGGGGTCTGGTTTCGGTGGAGACGGAGGAGGTCCCTGTCAAAAAGTGGGTGAGGCCAGGACGGGCCCTGGCCGCCAGGTGTGTGTTCCCTCTGGCGCCGCCTGAGGCTCGATCCGCCCCCCGAGCGAGCTGAGCCATGGGTCGCTGGCAAGGCGGTCCACCCTTCGCACGTGCTGTGGCAGAAAAGTGATTTCACCTTTTGCGGTGAATGCGGCTCCTGGGCAATAGCTCGCCCTGATTCCTTGCGGGGGCCCTGTCCTGTGGCCGCTTTTGGCCCGCATGCCACTACTAAGCACCAGCTCGAGGTTTTACAGCGTATTTGCAAGGGCCTCCCGCCCTCCAAGACCTCCATGAGCTGGGTTGCTTGACTTTCTTTTCCCTGCCAGGCAACCCCTGCATCTCTTGCACTCTGGAGGTTGGTTGGCGGCGGCGCACTGGAAAAAAATCCTCCTCCTCCTCCTCCTCCACCTCCTCCTCCTCCTCCTCCTCCTCCTCCTCCTCCTCCGCCTCCGCCTCCGCCTCCTTGGGGCCAAGGTTTCGTCCTGAGTCTTTTGTCGGCGGTCCAGAGGCCGAAAGTAGCCAAAGACTGCCCGCTCTCATCATTCCAAAGCCTCGGGTCTCTGGGCTCGGAGAGCGAGCCAGGTCCCAAAGCCGTGCGGTCCACCCCCCCGACCCCCACGAACTCACCACACGGTGTGGTCACCGCACCGTTGGGGTGCCCCCGAGCGTGGGGAGCGGCTCGCCCCAGGCCGACGCCTCCCTCCCCTGGGTGGCAGGCAGGGGAGCTTTCAACCCTGAGGCTCCTTCCTTCCTTCCTCCTCTCCTCTCCTCCTCCTCCTCCTCCTCCTCGGCCTCCGTCTTCTTGGCCTCCTTCCCTCCTCCTCGTCCTCCCCCTCCTCCTGCGTCTGCTCTTCCTGCCACTATTCCTCCCACTGCCCCACCCATTCCTGCTCATTCTGAATGTTATGATTATTTGTCTCCATTTATCCTCCTTGTCCTGCTCATCCTCCTCCTCCCCCTCCCCCCTGCCTCCTCCTCCTCCTGACACTCCTCCGCATCCCCCTTTCCCTCATCGTCCTCCTCCTCAGCTAGGCCTCCCCGACCAGTTGACAAAACCATCGATTGCCCTACTCCACTGTGTCAGCACCCCCCTCTCACCTCACAGGGGTCGAAGTGGTCAAAGGAGTGTGCGTCAACGTTGGAGGTGTAGATGAAGAAAGCCCCTGGGCAATTGCCAACCTGGCAAAGGGAAGATGAGCGCATCCCCAACCTTCAACCTGAGCGTATATACATGCATACGTACAGATACATGTATCGATGTGCCAAGATGTGAAGCTCAACTAGTGTATATGCATGCGCAAACATGTGCACACATGCGTATGATAACCACGCGAAGCACGCTCGAAGCCCTTGACCAGCTCGCACCTACACGCGGGGCAACGCATTCCCACGCTGAATCCAAATACATGGGAATGCACAGTTGCCGGGAACAGTAACAAAGCGAGCAGCAGTACACATAATATCAAAGACAGTCAATGTGAAGCAATGAGATGTGAACCAGAACACGCAGCACACCTTTGTACCATCCAGCGACGTCCAGCGACACATCACACACATATTTTATATAGACATGTTTCCATTATACATATAAGTGTAAGGATCCATAGATATAGCCAATCGCGATTTCCCTCGACGAACTGGTCTTGACGTGGAGTGCCCCGGGGGGCGTCTTCAGGCAATCTTAGGCCATCTGGGGATTTGTCTTGGAGCCCTGTTGGACCGTCTTGGGAGTCGCGTGGCCTGTGCTGAAGCCCGTGTGGCCCGTCTTGGCGCGACCTTGCGGACCCTCTCCGGCGGCTCTCGGACGCCGGGAGGCCGCCAAATCGCATGCAAAAACCGCTCATTCGAATCTGATATATATATATATATATATATATATATATATGTACACATATACATATACATATATATACATAAATTTGTGTGTATATATATATGTGTGTATTTCGGCACCTCTTCGGGTATGGGTTGGGTCGCAAGGAACATTGGGCTCCCGTGAGGCTGTTTGACCGCCATGCCGACCGCTCTGGGCCTCGCTTTGGAGCCCCGCAAAGACGTCCAGGAGGCCTGGAAACAAAAGACAACGCACTGCACTGCTGTAATGGCAAGATCAGTCAACATCGAACCGGAAGGACCCAATCTGACTACCTACCAGACCACCCCAACCCAACCCGTAGACCCGGATTTCGGGTTGGGGGGGTACGGGTTCCATGTGTGTGTTTTCTCAATGTTCCCCGACACCCCCCACTGGAAATGGAGGGCAAATTGAGGTCTTCGGGTTGGGCTGGGGTGGTTTGGTGGGTGGTGACGCACTGCACTGCTGCAAGTTACCAGCCTCGAACTTATCCCTATCCCTAAGATTGACACGCCAAATGGCGATGACAATCTTAGGGATTCGCCCTCAAAAAATAAGGGAATCCCTAAGATTGGCATCGTGATGAGGAGATGCCCAGCATAGGGATAGGGATATGTTCCAGGCTGGTAGGCAAGGGCAGGATGAACCAACATCGAGCCGCAACATCGGACCCCTCGGGACGACAGTCGGCTCGGGCCGCGCCGGCACGGAGCTGGAATCATGCCGGCTCGGCCACGCCAGGGTGCACAACAGCGCCATGAAGGCGGCGGGCCGAGTAGGATCGAAATACAATGAAGGCGGCGCCTCTTCCCCCCCCCACTCCTCCTCCTCCTCCTCCTCCTCCTCCTCCTCCTCCTCCTCCTCCTCCTCCTCCTCCTCCTCCTCTTCCTCCTCCTCCTCCTCCTCCTCCTCCTCCTCCTCCTCCTCCTCCTCCTCCTCCTACCCCCCCCCGCTCGTTTTCATCTTCGTCGTCTTCAGGGTCGGCGGCACCGGCCGTTAGGCCTTCGCAATACAATCAGAATCGAATCGGATCGGGCCAGACGAGACCGATACCGAATCGGGCCGATCGGATCGAAATGTAAACCGTATGGGCGGGGGCGTCGCCCTGGAGTGTGCGCGCCAGAGACGACCACGGACGGCCAACACGGCCACGAGCTGTGCGCGCCACCCTCGGGAGTGCCCCACGAACTGGTTCTGACACAGCACAACACATCGCAAGACTGGGCGCCGAACTGGAAATACGCGACAAGGGCCGTTCCCAGTCCACCTCTGATTACTCCTTAGTCTTCCACCTTGCTGAAGCACGCAGGGAAAAGAACAAGCAGACCCAGTTCAAGGAAGGATCTCCAGACAAAATCCCAAAAGAACAATGGATCGGCTGCACTGCCAGTCTATCCGATGCCCACAAGCTAGCCCGGAATTACACGTCAGGCCATCCCTGATGCCATCTCTACATTTTATACACCCACAGCATCAGGAAATTTGCCTTGCAACCAGAGCCCCGTGTTCTTATCCCTTCGACTGACCTCACCCTTGTTGAGCATCTCTAGCCAGTCTTTGCTGGGACGCCCAAACCCACTGCTTGCAACCCAGCTTTCCACGGACTACAGATCATGCGCTCTGAAATCCCTCACATTCATGCCATCACGAAAAGATACGACATATCGACGATGCGCTTTAGCAGAGAAACGGCAGTAAAAGGATAACAAACACCAACATGTACAATAATGTGAAGCCCCACGCGCTAGACCGTCAGAGGGCGGGATAATAAACAACTAACACAGGCATTGCACTCACAATCACACGCTTCCCTTGCCCCTTGCACGGCTTGGAATGGGCTGCGCACGCCAGAACCATCGCGCGAAGTTGCACGAGGCTGCAAGTGAGGTAGTGGCAGGGTTAACTCGAATGCTGGGCCCGATGTAAGAAAAGTCGCAAGAGCAAGCATTCATACATGTCAAAGACCCGCTGTGACATAGACGCAGCAGACAATATCGTATTCCCAATGTCGGATGGACTGTACCAAAACCGTGATGCTCGAACGGCCAAAACACATGCATGGTCGCGTTCACATCGTTACCAAGAAACCGGTTCGACATGGTAAGGTTTGCCATGCACTCGGCGCAAGCTCAGGCAACATTGACCTCATAGACAGACAGGCTTCTGTTGCCACGCCTGCTTTCAGCTGGTTCAGTGAAAGGTGATTTCCGAACAACATGCGCAACATGATCAATCGCCAAAACCGCAGGACAATCAATCCCACGGATTCTCTGGGCACCCTACCGCGCCGTGACTAGCACCATTCGGCTCTGCCGAATCTCGATGCATGGCCGCACAATCAAAACCCGAACACCCCCCTGGCTCCCCCGCAACCCGCCTTGTACGGGCTGCTCTGGCTGCTGGCGCTCCCGCCATACTCCGTGCCACCCACCGACTTGCCGCGGCGCTTGCCTCGCAAGCGGCAGGTCGGGACGGGGGGAAGAGGGAGGTGTCGACAATCGGAAAGACAGAGGTATCGACAAGAGACAAGAGGGAGGTATCGACAAGAGGGAGGTATCGACAAGAGGGAGGTATCCACGACTTGTCTTGCCGCTGCGAACGAAACTTCATAGCAATCAATGACTGTGGCACCCCAGTATATAGCATTGAAAACGCGACTGCGCTCCATCGTGTGGTTCCAGGAAGATGTCAATCATCGTCCAGCAATCCACCTTGCCACGCCAGCACGCCCCTTGCGATGCCAAAGCCCACAAAGGACGCTAAACAAGGTACGATGCCCTTCCTTAGCGAAGTGCAAGAGAGACAACCATTGAACGACAGAAGGGACGGCGAGCCCGATCCCAACCCAGTATGTTCCTTGATTCAAAGCGTTGATGACGTAGATTCTGCTGCCCACGAGCACCAGGAGCGCCAGGTGCCAGGGTCGAACGGGCGCACCGCGCTGGACAAGTGCAGCAACTCAAGCTCTCGATTGTTTTGTGCCTACAGGGATAGCCGCAGTCATTCGCAGCATGTGCATACGTCGGAAATTGGGGGGTGAGTCCGACGTGAAACGGAGACCCCCCTCTCCGGGAAATCGATTTCGGTTTCGGGTTCGTGTCGTGCGTGCCGTGCGTGCGTGCGCGAGGGCGAGGCGAAGCTGCGTGGGCGGGCCAGAGGAAATCCTCCTGTGGCTGGGCCGCGGCCGGACCAAATGATTCCCCCCGGCGGCTGGTGGCCCGCGGTGTCCCGTCGGTGTCCCGCTGGTGTCCCGAAGTCCTCCTGTGGCCAGGCCGCGGCCGGACCAAATGATTCTCCTGCGGAAGCCGGTGGCCCGCGGTGTCCCGCTAGTGACCCGCTGGTGTCCCGAAATCCTCCTGTGGCCAGGCCGCGGCCGGACCAAAAGTCTCTCCACCCAGCAAACGGTGCCCCGCGGTGTCCCGCTAGTGTCCCGCTGGTGTCCCGCCGTGGCTGCGGCGAGCTATCCAGTGCAAGCGTACATGCAAACCGACATGCAATCCGAAAAGTACATCGAAATGCAAATCGACATGCACATCCAAAAGCAAATCGTAAGGCGCCGTGGGTTGCGTATATATTTGGTAAAAAAAGAAAACAAGAAACAACAAAACAGCACAAACAAACAAAAGGCACCTGCGGCGAGCTTTCCAGTGCAGGTCGGCATGCAAATCGAGATGCAGATCGAAAAGTAAATCGACATGCACATCGACATGTCGACATGCAAATCGAGATGCAGATCAAAAAGACAATCGACAAGCACATCGATATGCGCACCACAGGCATCGTCAGAACAACAGTCAACTCTGTTGCCCATTGCTGACCCGCCCCCCCAAACCTCCTTATCACCCGCAGGGTGGTCGTATAGGTACGTAAGTATACATCGCCACGTCGCAAGCCCGCGTGGCGAGAGGGGTGATCGCCAGTGCATGTGGCACAATGCGCCAGGGGAGCGATGCAGTCCAAAGGCATGAGACCCAACGCTCGGGGGCTTGACAGCATCAACCAACACCAGGTCAGGATATGGGATCGGGTCGAACCGCGCGTCGGATCGACCCGCATCGGAACGGAGTCGGGATGGGATCGGTTCGGCTGCGTCAGGGTGCCCGACAACGTCGTGCAAGATGCACTGAGGCCTTGCGCCAGACAACCTGGGATGCCTGGGCGTGCCGAACGCATCCTGACCGGGCCCCAGGCCTCAAGAAGCCCAAGCCGCCACACCAATCCGCGAATCATGAGCCCCTCTCCCACGCCCCCTCAAGCCAGGCACCCCCGCCTAGCCCCCACTCCTCAAGCTCTTCCCCGGACCCTTGGCCATATAGAGAAATCGCATCGAATCGGAGTGTGCGTCAAGTCGGGCTGCACTGGCACGGAATCGAAATCAAGCTGGACCGGCTGCGCCAAAATGCACGACAACGCCATGCGAACATCGGGCCGGATCGGATCGAGCCGGCCAGATTCGCTATCGAATTCCATCAACCGATCCTGCCTGGGTCCCCCGTGGTCTCGGCCGTGACACGGGCCTCCGGCAGCCGTTCGGGAAGAGGGGCACTCCTGAGGCGTCCTCGGCGAGGCGCAGCTGCTGGAAAGCATCCCAAGGCTGGAAAACATCCGGGGACCTGCGAAAACGCCCCAAAACTTCGGATCGAAAACCTCCGAAACCGTCCGATTACCTGGGCAAGGCCCAACTGCCAGAAAAGAAACCTACGAAAACTCCCTGGAACCTGTCGTGACGAAGTCTCTCGCTACCCTTTTCCCCTCGATGCGCTCGATCTAAAAAGGCTTCCAGGAGCCACGAACTCCACTCATGCGTCGATGCTGCGCCGAACGTCCGTCGACTTGAGTCGAACTTGAGTCGAACTAGAGAACTGGAGTCGAACTTGAGCAAACCTAGAACCGAACATATCCATAGGTATTAGGTCGGCCCCAGGAAAATTCCCCAAACGAACCTCTAATCCCAGAGCCTGCGATGTGATTTTTCACGTCGACCCATCGAAACTTCCACTACTTCCCCTGCACAGACTTTTCGCCCCGAGTCCTTTAGCGACAGGCCTGGGACCCGCTGAGTCCCCCCCCCCGAGGGCAGAGACGGCCAAAAACTGAGCGTCGTGTTTTTGTCACTGCGCGCAGAACTCTGGATCTCTCGTTGCCCCAGGCCCCGTCAGACAATCACGGAAGAGGCCCCTGGGGCGTGGCGACGTCCCTTTCCCCCCCCCCCTCCCGTGACAGCCGCCGCCACGACTGCTTTTAAATCCGCAGAGGTCCCGACCGCTTCCTGGGGGAAAGTGTGACGACACACAATCAAATACACACAAATCCCAGGATCCCCAATCTTTTCCCATTGCGTTCTGAACTTGTGCCTTCCCCCCCCCACTCCCCATACCTTCCCATCTTCTCCTGGGCGTCGACGATTCGCTGCGTCTGTGTGCTTCTGTCCCTCCTGGAATGTCTCGTCGAGGGCCCGGCAGCGGCCCCCGAGGGCCGAGACGGAGGAGCATCCGCCTGTGGAACAACATCACGCACTCGGAGATCTGGACTCGGACCCTTCTCGGCAGGCAGGGGGTCCTCCTCCTCCCCCTCCTCCTCCTCCTCCTCCTCCTCCTCCTCCTCCTCGTCCTCCTCCTCCTCCTCCTCCCCCTCCTCCTCCTCCTCCTCCTCGTCCTCCTCGTCCTCCCCATCCGCCTCCTCCTCCTCCTCCTCCTCCTCCTCCTCCTCCTCCTCCTCCGCACTCCTCCTCCGCACTCCTCCGCACTCCTCCTCCTCCTCCTCCTCCCTCCTCCTCCTCCTCGTCCTCCTCCTCCTCCCTCCTCCCTCCTCCTCCTCCTCCTCCTCCTCCGCCTCCTCCTCCTCCTCCGCCTCCTCCTCCTCTTCCTCCTCCTCCTCCTCCTCGTCCTCCTCCTCCTCCACAATTACTCAATATGAATACTACTATTCTCCTCCTTCCCCTGATGACGGTATGGGAATATTCCCCCCCCGCGTACTGTTTTTTACACACAGGATTCCCCGGAATTGTTCGCCTGCATTTGTTTCAAAATGCTGCTCTCGCTGGGGCGCCGGCCTCATTTTCGGGACCCGCTCGTTCCGAATCGTGCTCCCGCTGCAGCGCTGGCCTCATTTCCGTGCTTCCGCTCGTTCCGAATCGTGCTCCCGCTGCAGCGCTGGCCTCATTTCCGTGCTTCCGCTCGTTCCGAATCGTGCTCCCGCTGCAGCGCTGATGTCATTTCCCGTGCCATGCCACGGCATGCAATGCAATGCTAGTTGCGCTCCGCTGCGCGATGCTATGCCTTCAGCTGAAGTTGTGATATGCAGTGCTTAAGTGCCACGTCGTGCTATGCCATGCTACGATTTGATCTTCAACGCCATGATATGCAATGTTATGTTCGGGGCCGCTGTGCGATGCCATGCTTTGCGTTGCAAAGCTTTGTGATGCAATTATTCACTACGCCACGCCACGCCATGCTGTGACATACTACGCTTCGCGGTGCTCTTCTACGCCATGCCACGCCGTGCTATACAATGCATCGCGTACCCTTTCGGGATCGTTGCCCTGCTCGACATCCGACTGTGCGAGTAGAGACGGAATATACGCCATGGTAAGGGATGGGAGGGAGGGGTAGGATGTAAGATATGACGCAAGCGCACCTAGCTTGTCTCCCCCTCCTCTTCCTCCTC